GCAGGGCGACGCGCAGCCCACGCCGGCCGCCGCGGGCACTCACAGGGCACCGTGGTGCCGTAGCGGTCCGGGTCCCACATGAGCAGCTTGTTCTTCAGGCTACGCCGGCCCACGCCCTGCGCCCCGATCAGCACCAGGGTTTTCCGGCGGAACGGGGGCATGCGGGCCACCTCCTCGTAGATGAGCAGCTCGTGGCGGTCGAACTCTGGGCACAGGGAGAGGGCACTGCCGTCGGGCTGCTCCGCGGGCGGCGCGGAGCGGGGCCGGGGGCCGGGAGGGGACGGCGGGCGCCCACACGCACCTGCGTTCTTGGTGGTCAGGTACATCATCCGCTTCTTCTTCTTCCCCGAAAGGCTGCCGCACAGGGCCCCTGGCCGTGGGAGCCGGGTGAGCGAGGCGGGCAGGGCCGTGCCGGCTCCCACGGGGTCCCCACGGGTGTCGCCGTCCCTACCTGAGGTCGGGGTCAGCTCCAGGTCGCGCTTGACGAACGCCTTCCGCTTCTCCTCCAGCAGCTGGCTGGGGATGAGCCCGGCGCTGCCCCCCTCCACGTGGCAAGCCTGCAGGGGCGCAGGGTTGGCTGGAGAGGGCCACCCCGACCTGCCACCCGCCCCGGGACCTGCGGCCCCACCTGCCACCAGTTGGCGTCGTCCTGGTTCACGATCTGCAGCAGGTCGCCCGCGTGGAAGCGCAGCCCGGCCTCCTTGCAGGGGATGAGGCTGTCGCGGGCCGGGTCGTAGTCGAAGTGGCATTTCACAAACACCTGCTCTCGGAGCAGGCGCAGGTCAAGGGAGGGGAAAGCGGACGGCGCCGTGGACAGCCGGCACGCAGACCACCCCTGACCCCGAGACCCGCCTGGCCCGGCCCCCCACAGCATTGCGCCTAAGGGGCGGAGCGTTGTGGGCGCTGCCAAGAGGAAGCGGGCAGGGCCGCTGGCACGCTGGCCCCTGACTGCCCACTCCACCCACCTCCCCTGGGGACAGGGGCCGGGCTGGGAGCGAGCCGGGGAGTATCGGGGAAGGCAGGGGACAGCCGGACCCCCACAGCCCACCAAGCGGGTGGCAGCTGCCTGGGGCGTGACAACGGCACTGGGCACCTGGGCACAGACCGGCAGGTGGCGACACTCGCTGGGCCCAGGTGCTGGGGTGGAGGCACGCACAGCCCCTGGCCCGTGGGGGCCTCGCCCTAATGCGGGCACACCTGGCACCACGTATGGAGGTTCTGGGTGGTCCAGGACAGCTACCAGCTCTGCCTCAAGCTGACGGGGTGGGCAGGGGTCTCCCAGAGCCCGAGCCCTGGCTCTGTGCCGGGCGGGGCTGGCACACCTGGCGCGGCAGGTGCGGCTCCTGGTAGCTAGGCAGGATCTTGAGGACAACGCTGCCGCTGGCACTGCGCAGCAGCTCCTGCAGGGCGCGCGGGTCGCTGCCCACCGGCTGCCCGTTGGCTTCCTTGATGACATCGCCCACGTGCAGCAGGCCCTGCTGTGCCACCATGCCGCCGTGCAGAATGCGCGCGATGACCAGCTCGCCACCCTCCACGCGGAAGGTCACGCCCTGGGCGGGGCGGGGGGCAGTGAGCTGAGCCCCCCACGCTGCGTCTCCACCCTGGTCCCCTGAGGGCCCTTCCCAGGGAGCCAGCCTGTCCCTGTCCCCATGGTCCCGCTCCCCCGGGCCGCACCAGGTGCTCTCCGGCCGTCTTGCGGATGCCCACCATGCGCACCGCGTCGGGGGGCACCGGCTGGCTGCTGAACGTGGGGTCTAGGCCCGGGCTGGGCGGCGGCGTCTCGTAGGTCTTGGAGGCCACCGAGTCGTGCGTCTCCAGGAGGGACTGCGGGGCGGGGAAGAGGCCGCAGCAGGGTCAGCCGGGCCCCGCCCCGCCCCACCGTGTCACGGCCACCTTCACACCCACCCACAGCGCACCTGGAAGTGCGGCTCCTGCAGGATGCGGGCCAGCTCGGCCGCCGGGCTGCTGCGCTCCGCCAGCTGCGCCAGGTCCCGCAGGATCTCCCGCACCAGCTCCAGGTTGTTGTCGCGCACGGCCTCCAGCTTTGTCTCCTCCAGCCGCTCGTGGGCCTGGGACGGAGAGCAGGTGAGGCCGGCAGAGCAGGGGAGCCCACGCCCGGCACCCGCGGGGGTGTGGCCTTCCCACCCGGAGCGCACCCCTCGGCCCCACCCCGCATGGGCCACGCATGCGCGCACGGGAGCCTCGCTGTGCCCCGGCTCTTTGGAACCTCGGTTGAAGCCAGATTGGGAAAGGAGAATCCAGAGGACAGACGTCCCCTCACCCCGGCCCCTGAGGGCCATCGGAACTACACCATCCCCGCTCCTAAGACCCCACAGCATCCGAGTTCAAGGACGACGTCCGCCCCTAGATCATGGCAGGTGTGAGGCCGAAGACCCTGCGGCCCAGGAACCTCGAGGTCACCTGGACTCCAGCGTGGACCTCCAAGCCCTGGCCCGGTCTCCTAGTGCGGGAAGGGACAGGAAGTCAGCGCTTAGTGCCCGGAGAGGCCTTGTGGGCCCCCAGGGGGAGCCCTCAGAGGGGACAGGACAGTTCGCCCGAAAGGCGTGAGTCCAACTGCACGATCACGCTGAAGCTTCCGCTCTCTGAGAGGCGCACGCCTGAGCACCGGTTAGACAGCTGAGCCCCCTCCGCAGGATGAATTCACACTGGGAAGCTTAACCTCTACCTGACAGTCTGTGTTCGGGTGGTCACTACTGTCCCTAAAGTGTCCTTTCTAGTTCCACGTTTGTGTGTCCGGGATCTAAGCAAGCGTCGTGGGTTGCTTTCAACTATCCCATCTTTTTATTCTTCCTTTTGAGAAGGGGTCTTGCTGTGTGGCCCCGGCTGGAATGGGACTCGGTTCCCCCGGCGTAGGCTCCGGTGGGTGCAGCCCTGCTCCAGGAGGTTTGTTCAGAGTCCCCTCGCGATCAGCCTGAGGTCGGTCGGCCTGGCAGGGCTCTGCAGAGGTGACCTGTGTACCCCACATGTGGGGACCCCGTGACTTCCCAGGCACCCTTCATCAGTGGGCTCTGCACCCACAGGACCCTCCCAGAATGGGTCATCTACTGGGGGCTGCAGAACGGTGCTCACCAACTCCACCCACCCACTACACTTCCAGAGTGGTCCCCATTTCAGGGCTGGCCTCAGACTTGCAATTCTCCTGCCTCAGCCTCCTGAAAAGCTCTGATTACAGCTGGGTGTGATTACAGGAGTGCAGCTGTGATGCCTGGCGTCACACGGGTGTCACTCCTTTAGGGCCTTGGTCAACCCAGAGTTCCAATTAAAATCAAACTGTGTGTTTCCCCACCCTTCCCTTTCTGCGTTCACACCTCCTTCTCCTCCTCTGGTGAAAACCGATTTTGCAGTGGTACCGATCTACTTAATTATTTGTTCTGCTCACTTCTCAGCCTTTTGCTAAGATCACATGTAATTATTGTTCTGTCTTGTGGGACTCACTTAGGCGGGTGCCTCCCGGAGAACTTGCTATTGCAGATCTGCTGTCAGAACCAAGATCTGCCTGCAGCTGCTGTTCCCCGAAACGTCCGGGGCAGTGGAAGCATCGTCCCCCGCTGTTCCCTGCCTCCAGCCCACGGGGCTGCGACGCTGCAGACGCGGAAGCAACAACCAGGGAGCTACATTTTTAATTTTACTGAAGCCTTTTAAGTTTTGTCTTAGTTTTTGTGCTAGAACAAAAGCACCTCTAAGCCTGAGGAATTTATAAATGACAGAAATTATTTCCTCAGAGGCTGGGAGGCCAAGGCCACGGGGCCCGTACCCGTGCCCAGGCGGGGCAGGCCGAGGGCTGAGGGGCTGTGAATGCCCACGCTCTCTCAGGGGTGCAGGTCTCATTCCTGCTGCCCATTCCTCGCCTGGTTTAACCACCTCCTAAAGGGCTGCCTCAGTGGGCGTGGTGGTGTTTCCCTGTCATCTCAGCACTCGCAAGGCTGAGGCAGGAGGACTGCTTTTGAGTTCAAGGCTGGCCTGGGCTACAGAGCGAGACCTTGTCTCAAGAAAAAAAAAAGAAAAATAACATAAAAGGCCCCCCTAACTACTGTAGCACCAAGAATTACACATTCAGACGACAGTGAGGCGTTTAAACAGCACGGCGGTGTTGGCCCGCGCCGCCCTCCTGTGAGGGGTGAGAGTACTTCGGGACAGTCGCCTGAGTTAACTCCCTGTCCTGTGTGACCAGCGTGACTTGCGTGGATAGAAGCGCTCATCCAAACTTAATTCGGGGGTCTGCCTTTTCACTCCTCTTCATTTAACTTTATCAGTTAGTAAGTGCTACGCAGACACAGCTCAGTGTCGATCTCTGTCAGCGATAAACTCAGTCTCAATTCCACCCGTCCTGCCAGCCCCGTTCGCACCCAAACCCGAGAGGCTCATTTTCATTCATGCATGGTTTATTCTGTCAGAGTTGACAAAAATGAACCTCTCTCTCTCTGTCTTACATAAAAGGGAGCACACCAGGCAGGGTGGAGCTCGGTGGCCCAGCATTCACCCGCGCTCCCAGGCCCTGGCCCCGTCCCCCGACTGCAGGAATGCCTTGGATTTGCCTGTTAGTCTTTCTGATTGGTTTGGCTTGTTGCCTGGTTTTACACCTATTACACACTGGAAATCACTGCACACCGCTGCACACTGGTCTTCCACTATTATTGTGTTGTTTTTGAGTCAGGGTCTCACCATGTAGCCCAGGCTGGCCACGACCTCATGGCGATCCTCCCGCCTCAGCCTCCCCAGTGCCGGGGTGACAGCATGTGCCACGGTACCAGGCCGTATCATGACTACTTTTTAGCGACGGTATCTGACTGCAGCACGACAGGAGGCCTGTAACTTACTCAACCTGTCCCGTGCATGCATTTTCAGGTTGGTTCTAGCATTTCACCATTACAGACAATGCTGGCACGATTAGCCCAGCAGAGGTTGGGCATTCGTGAACAGATGGAGATCAGTTCCTAGAAACCTCACTGGGTGCCGTTTGTACACGTGGCGTTTTCTGAGGTGCCCTTAGATAGGACACTCTCCCCTGCACCATCCGGCCGAGGGGAGGAGAGATTTCCCGGAAGCCCTTTGATACCGATCAGACCTCAGTGTCAGGCTGGGGATTTAGTTTAGCGGCACAGCGCCTGCAAGGTTGTGAGTTCGATTCCCGGTACTGGAGAAAAACCAAAAAAAAAAAAGAAGACCTCAGTGTCTGCCTCCGGGATCCACATCTGCTTTTCCCAGGAGCTTCCCCCGTCTGACCCCTGCTGAAACTGTCTGTGCACATCGATTGCCGATGTTCCTGTGTGTTTGATTTTGTCCTTTTCCCATTTTTAAATGTTCTCTTCACATTTATTTAAAGTTTCTCTCCCTTTACTTGTGACATGTCTCGCAAATCATTTTCCCTTGCTTGTCATCTGTTTTTTGATTCTCCTTAAGTTTTTGCCATGCCAAGAAAAAATAAAAATGTAATGCAGTTGAATTTATTAATCCTCCATGTGTCCAACTTTGAGGCATATTTTTTTGTTTTGTTTTTTGTTTTTTGAGACAGGGTCTCGCTATGCAGTTCAGGCTGGCCTTGAGCTCACTTTGTAGCCCAGGCTGGTCTCAAACTCACAAGGATCCTCCTGCCTCAGCCTCCCCAGTGCTGGGATTACAGGCGTGCGCCACCACGCCCAGCTTGAGGCATATTTTTAAATGGGGAGCTGCCCCCATGTTGGCCTCCAGGACAAGTGTAGCTGCATTTGCTCCTCGGGTCCTGCAGCATTTGCTCGGACGTGGAGAGAGGTACAGATCCACTCTGAAGCCCTTCGGAATGGCTGCATACATCCCAATGGTATTTATTTATTTATTTATTTATTTATTTTTCCTCTGGTACCGGGAACCGAACTCACGACCTTGCGCTTGCCAGGCAGGCCCTTTTGCTGCTGAGCTAAATCCCCAGCCCCAGTATTTATTAAAAATCTGCTAAAATTTTTTGAGCATCTAGGTGTGATAATAGTCCTGTACATTTTCAGAAGCATCGTTTTCTGACATGCACACTGAAGTGCTTGTAGATAAATTATACTACGTCTGAGATTTGCTTCAAAATGACTCAGGACGTGGGTGGAGATGAAGCAAGATTGGTCCTGAGCCGTTAGGTGATGACTGGCTAACAGACGACGTGGGCTCGGGGTGCATTTCTGAAACCTCCCATAAAGTTTGCTAGGCCCAGGAGACAGGCTGCTTTTTGTTCCTTGTTTTTTTTGAAATAGGCTCTTGTTATAGTGTCCAGGCTGGTCTCCATCTCCTGGGCTCAGGAAATCCTCCTGCCTCAACTTCCCCCGTAGCTGGGACTAAGGCAGCTCAAGACAGACAGTGTTAATCACATCCTGCGAGGATGCCGTGACACACAGGTGCTTGATAACACCAGAAACTTTCTGCCTTGTCTTCCCCAAACATGCCAGGGGCAGTGCCATCCGGCCCAGCAGCCACCAAAGCTGCCCTGTTCCTGGCCGGGCAGCGCTCCTGCTGGGGGAAGCCACATGGGAAGGACAGAGGGGCGGCACTCGGGGACGGGGACGGGGACCAGGCTCCAGAGCTTGACCTCCACCAGAGCGAACGGGAGCCACCGTCCCTGTGCTCAGTGGACACAGCCCTGAGTGGACCAGGTGGCTTCTGCAGCTCTTTGACGGCCCTGTGCCCTAGGGCAGTGCCGGGGGTCGGGGCCAAGGACTAAGTTTCAAGAAGAACAAGGCCCTGGGCATCCACCCTCTGAGCTGGACAACACAAGCAGGGCCAGAAAAGAGATCTAATTCTCTTTAGTGACACAGCACAGACCTAGGAATCAGCTCCGAACACCAGGGACCCCAGCGAGATCCTCGCCACAGCCCCACCCCACGCTGCCCTCCTTGTGGTGGACGTCTCATCTCTCTGTCAGTTCGTAAAGACCATTCCACAGGGCAGATTAGGCTGGGCTGAAAGCTGTTTTCTTTCAGAGCTTGAAACACTTTGGCCGAAGCAACCCTGGCCTTTAACGTTTATGTTGAGAGGCCTGCTGTAAGTCCAGTGGGCTTACCTTTAAAGGTGTTTTGGTTGTGTTTGGTTGGTTGGTTTTTGAGATAGGTCTCACTGGGTAGCCCTCCTGCCTCAGCTTCCCGAGCGCTGGGACACAAGCACGTGCCACCATACCCGGCTTCTCCGACGGCGTCTCAGATTCTGTCCTTGCGTGAGATTTCCGAGATTTTGCTGTGATGCGCTGCGGTGAGGTTCTTTTCTGATGATGGCCATGTGGGGTTCTGTACGCTGAACTCTTTCCCGCACTTGGAAGGTTTTCCGGTCTGATCTTTGCAAACCAGTCTTTACTGCACATGCCTTCCTCTGATTCTCCTGCTCCCCCAGCGAAGCGGGAGGCTTCTTCGCAGCCCTCGCGGCTGTGGGCTGTGTCCCCGAGGCGTCTCTGAACACACAGGTCAGTGACCGTCTCTTCACGTGGCCCGCCCTGCGGCTCAGCTGTGCGGACTCGGTCCCCTCTGGAGTCCTGCGAGGCCCCCTCTTGGACTCCATCTCCCTGGGAAATTTGCCGCCCGTGTTTTGAGTGGCTTTGGTTATTCTGCTTTTCATCTGTGCCATCGTCAAGGGCACGGATGTTTATCAGCTATACCGCCTGCCCTGTGTCATCACCCTCCACCTCCCTGACCTCCTTCCACCATCGGCCACCCGCCCGCCTCCCTGCCAGGCTGGGCCCCTGGGAGGCCGGGGCTGGGGAGCCATTCTGTCCCCTGCTTTCCTGTCTTTCTTTCTCTCCTGTGCTAAGGCTCAAGGCAGAGCCTCTGTCGCCGTCATGTGTGTGAAGGTCTCTAGCTCGGCTCTGCTCCCAGACGCGGCCCAGCTTACTTCTCAGGTTTTGCTTCTCCACCTCTTCCGTTCGGCTGGGTCCACCAAAGCCGTTCCTGTCAGGGCCCAGCAAAGTGCGACTCCACCCTGCTCGGCTCGCTGTCCCTTCGGCCCCCGTCTCTTTCCTTCTTTCTCCCAGAAACCCCTCCTCAATTCCCTGTGCGTCCCCTGGCTTCCTGTTCATAGTTACCGTGTCTTTATGAATTCCACACAGAATTCATAGAACTAACACAGTCTATAGCCTCTTGCTTTCCTGACACTGGGGCCTGAACCCAGGGCCTTCACACTGCGCTACGTACTTTAAAAATCTGAGATGGTCTCCCTAAGTCATGAAGCTGCCCGGGCTGGGCTGGGCTTTCATGAAGCTGCCCGGGCTGTGCTGGGCTTTCAATCCTCCTGCCTCAGCCTCCCAGAGTGCTGCTGTTACCTGGCCAGCTATCTTTGTCTTTCAAAACAGGGACTGCGCCAGGCGTGGTGGCGCATGCCTATAATCCCGGTGCTCAGGAGGCTGAGGCAGGAGGATCATTGCCAAGTTTGAGACCAGTCTCGGCTACAAGGTGAGTTCAAGGCCAGCCTGAACTGCTATGCTAAAATATAAAATCCTGGAGACCAGAATTTTTTCGCTTACTATTACTGAGTGAAAGCTCCTTTCACCTATGACTTCTCCACTCCCTGCGGCTGCGTATGGAATCTCACCTTCTGCACAAGTGACCCCATCCACACCGCAGGACTGGACACCCTGGGGCCCAAGGGTGACTCCAAATTCTGAGCTGACCGTTTCCATTGCCCCCTCCTGTTCTGATCCCAGGGCTCAGCAGGGCAGGGCTCAGGCTCAGGGCAGCATCAGGACGCTGGCAGCTAACGGGGAGCCCGTGTCCCCCCAGCTACACCCCACCGCAACCCTGGGGAGCTTGTGCAGACCCTGGGGCCATCTGTGCCTGAGCAGAAGACGGAAGCCAGACGCGTCCCTCAGTCTTCAAAGACCGCGGAGCCCCGAGAGCTGTGTGCCTGTCCAAGGCCAAGAGCTCTTCGATTTGCGCTGACCGCAGTGATGCTTTGGCAGGAGGGACCTTAGCAAACTCTCCAGCAGGGCCCGGGGTCCTGGGATTTGGGGCACAGCCCTCCTGGCTCAGGAGACCACCGTGAGGAAGCCTGAGCTGCCCTCCTCCACAGTGACAGCCATGAGGAGAGAGAAACCCCCACCCCAGGCACCACAGCCACCCCAGCCGGGACGCGGGGACCCGGCCGGGCCTCTGCCCGTAAGTTCCCTTCTCAGGTCTGTCTCAGCGACTGCTGGACCCTCACCCTCCTCGGGCACAGCTCAGCCGGCTCCCGGCCCCCTCCCCACAGAGCCAGAGCCTCCTGGGACCTGGGTCCAAGGCCAGGACCACCGCAGAGGGGCTCGAGCCCGACAGTGTGACCACCACGCGGCTCCACCAGCCTTGCAGGGCTCGGGGCAGTGACGGCCGCAGGGAGGCGGCAGGCGACGCTGCACTTCGTCCTCACAACCCTCAGCCTGGTATAACAAGGGACAATTTCCTCCTCGATTCCAGACCCTGCCTACTCCTGGAGCACCTGCTGCTGCCGGCCACCCCTGCCACCTGCGCCAAACCCCACTTCCCTGCTCTCACCTTGGTGGCCCTGTCCCCGCTCGGCTTGGCGGCTGGCCATCCCGACCCCAGAGGGGACTCTGTCTCCACCTAGGTCGCCCTGCGCCGGGCGTGCACCTGACGCCTCAAGCCGGCGCGGCTCCAGTGTGTGAAGTTTAAAGACGCACAGAGCGAGGCGGCCAAACACGTGGCAGACACCAAGTGGGCCTCGCTGCTGGCCAGGCCCACGCCGCCCCCGTCCGGGCCGCTAGGACCCCAGGACCAACCCGGCCACACAGCCACACCCCGCGCTGCCCCGGGAGCCCCAGCCGCCCTCCTGGGGCGTCTTTCACCTGGAGCTCCAGACCCGGCCCACGGGCAGGCCCGGCCCTCATCCTTCTCTGCAGGTCTCTCCCTGCTCCTGCCCGCCGGGCACTGGCACGCCCCAGGGCCAAAGCCCGTCAGGACCGCCAGGGCAGCCCCGGCCTCTGACCGCTGTTCGCCTCCCCTGCCCTGAGCCCCACAGAGGACAAACCCATGCGCCCCGCCCGGCCTTGTCTCCTGCTCCGTGAGGCCCCCCACCCCATGACCCTGCACCCCCAAACCCCAGTGAATCCCTCCAGCCCTGCAGCCTCGGCTCAGGGGCTCCCAGCATTCCCTGCTGGCAGGTCCCTGAGCTCCAGGTATGATGCTCACCTGACCCCCAGACCTCCCCCTGCCCACCTCGCCTGCAGGCCCACGTCAAGTTCCCCGCAAGCTCTTCCTGTGCTGGGCGCCCACCACAAGCTGCCCCTGAGCACCGTACCTTGGCCAGGGACCTGACGATGGGGCTCTCCATGATGCCGCGGAGGAAGATGAGGTCCAGCTCTGCGGCCCCAGTGGCGTTGGGCAGGGACCCCAAGTTGTCCAGGACTTGCTGCATGGCTGCGGGGGGACAGTAGGTGAGATGCCTGCAGACAGCAACCCCTTCCCCGACACCCGGGTGCTCTGCCCGGGCGACCGGCCTGTACGTCCACAACCAGCTGAGCATGTTGCCGCCTGGGCCCCCAGCGGGGCAGCCCGGGCAGCGGGAAGTGGGCTCGGAGAGCTGGGTGCCGGTGCCAGCTCTGCCCTGCTGCAGGGAACCAGCTCCACACTGCACCTCCAGGGGGCAAAGCCCTGGCCTCAGCGCCCTGCCCAGGGGCGCTGCCATCCCTGCCGGGCCGGGTCTTGCCCTCGGCTCTAACCAGGACCTGTGGCCCCTGGGTGATACGAAGTCACACCAAGGCCCCAGACACTGGCTGGATGCAGACCCCGCGTTGCGCTGGGCACCCAAGGGTGGTGGTCAGGCCAAGGCGCCCCAGGGTAGCAGACGACTGGCTGGACGGGGCTGACCTTGCCCGGAACCAGGAGGAGGGGCCGGCTGGGGAGCCAGCCTGGGGCAGCTGCAGGAGGGGAGGGGGCATGCGCAGGCGGGCAGAGATGGGCAGGGGTATCATTACGCTGCCACCTGCCGCCCCCGCCTGCATCTGGGAATAGCGCCCCGAGGAGGAGCGGCACCCCCTCTGCTTCCACAGACTGCCTCCCAGGAAGCCGGCAGAGGAGCATGGCCCTGGGGCACCAGGAGGGGCAGCGTGGACTCCAGGGTCCCCAGCCACCGCATCCCCACCCCGCCCCTCCGGTCCCTGGGCTCTGGGAGAAGCTGGGATCCACATCCCCGTCCCGCCAGGGACCGCAGCCTGCTGGCCACAGGTGTGGGTGGGGACAGGGCCGATGGGCGATGCCCTCCCTCCCAGGCACCCCAACCCCTCTGCCGGGTGGAGAGCTGAGGGCTCGGCCCTCCTACCTTCCTTCTGCAGCTCCGCTTCCTCCGAGGAGCCCAGGGACAGACCCTCCAGGGAGGCCCCGCTGCCGGAGCTGCCGGCCATGGTGTCCCCAGCGGCGCAGCCCCGTCCCGGGAAGGCGGGAGAGGAGATGCGCGCGGTGCCATGGAGCCGGCCAATGGCAGCGCCGCCGGCAGGGAGGGGGTGGCGGCCAGGGGCGGGGCTGTGGTAGTGACGTCGTCACCGTAGGGAGGTGGTGGGACGCCCCTTCTGAGACCCGCTGCTCACAGCCAGGAAACCGGGCCAGGGGTCTCGGCCCCAACTTCGCCCCACACCCGGGGTTCGTGGAAGCCCCCGAGAGGTGCCCCAGACACCTCCCCACTGCGGCCTCAGGCAAAGGAAGCCTCGGGTCCCCAGGGCTGCCCCCAAATGCAGCCCCGGAGGAGGGTGCCACAGCCACCTGGGCGGGCGCGGAGGGGCACCTCGGGGCTGGGGACCTGGCGCTGCCGGGCTGGAGGCGTGTCTCCGCCATGGCGCCCGCTCCTCTGAGACCCTGCGCCCCGAGGACAGCCGGCACCCACCGGGTCCCCTCACCCTGGTTGCCATGGCAGCAGGCAGGGATTACACACCGGGAACAGCCCAGGAGCAGCCAACGAGCCTGCCAAAGATTTAAAGGGCCCGCTCTGGCGGAGAGCAGCCCAGCGCCCTCACCTCATTCCCCAAAACCAAGGGAGTGACCCAGGGGAGAGGGGCCTCCTGGGCCAGGCAGGAGCCCTACAGCTCAGGCTGACCCGCCCACATCTCCTGCCTGCAAGCCGAGCCGGGCCCCAAAAGACAAGAACCTGCTGACCACTCGGCGGGAGGGCAAGAAGGACCCCTCAGCCCTGCGCCCCGCAGAGCCCCACGTAGGGGCGTCCTGGGGAAGGAGGCGGCCAGGCCTCAGAGGGGCGCAGCTGTCCCTGTCTGTCCCCGGGAAGCATCACAACACCAGCTGAGGGACTGCAGGTGACAGCGGAAGAATTGGTGGTGAGCTCTGTGTGCTGGGGCTGAGGCGGCCAGGGGTGGTGGCCGAGGGGGGCTCTGGGAAGGGGGACCCAGGGCCGCAGGGCCAGGAGCCCTCCGAGAGCAGTGCCCTGGCCCACCCCACCTGCGTCACGAGACCACCCTGCCAGAGAGGAGAGGCCTCTCCTCTTCTGATCCTGGGCTTGTGACCCCCGAGTGGCTGGTGGTGGGGCCCTGGGCAGCGGAGGAGGGGACAGCTCAGGGGACATGCTGGCCAGGAGACCAGACACTGGGCCTGCATGCGAGCCATGAGAGCTTTCGGCACCGGAGCCTAACTGAGGCCAGGGGCCTCTCGGTGCAGAACCCCGGAGCGGGACGTGGACTTGGACACCAAGTCCCGCTGTGAGCAGTACCGGCTGCATCCTCACTCAGAGGCCCGGGCCCATCGGAGCTAAGAAGGCCACCTTGCCCGTCACCCATCTTAGGGACAGGTTCACCCGGGGAGGGGCCACACCCCAGGCTGACATAGGAGGAGGCGCAGGCTCCGTCGGCGCTCAGGCCCGGGCTCCCACCTGTCCAGTGCCTGCTGCCCCCGGCTGGAACCTGCTACGTGGCCACCCCCGCCCCAACCCTGACCCCTCAGCATGCGCGGCCTGGGGCACCGCACTGCGGATTCTCTCACCAGCCTGGCCCTGCCCTCCGCCCCGCAATGGTGGGTTCCCCAGGTCCACGCAGCTGCTGCGCCCACCTGCCTGGCACCACTGCAGTCGCCACAGCCCCCTCCTTACCCGACTCAGAGTTGGTGGCAGCAACCGGCATGGCGAGGTCAGTGAGGGCCCTGTGCTGTCCGTCCTAGGGAGAGGGGTGGGAGGGCACAGGGCTGGCGCCAGGGGCACTGCACAGAGGGGACACGGCCCCAAGCCCGGGCGCCGGGTGACAGCAGTGACCCCAGGAGTCCCTGCAGGCAGGAAGGGTGGAGGACAGGAGGCTGGCAGGAGCGGAGCCCACTGTGCCGGCCAGCATCGGTGCTAGCAGGGAGGACCGCAGGGAGCCGGACTCTAAGTCCAGTGATGACCGTGTTTCTGCCGACCTCGTCTGCTCGGACTGTGGGGTGGCCAGGCTGGGTCTGGACTGAGTCCAAAGCAGGACTGGGCAGCACTTCAGCCCAGAGGTCCTTGAGAGCCAGAAGCCACCGGTTCTGCGGCTTCTAGAACCCGGGCCCAGCCCAGCACAGAGGCCCCAGAAACACGGCATCTAGGGAGGGGTGCCGCGCGGCTCCCTGGGCCTTCCTGGGGCTCAGTCTCCCCTCCTTCGCCCAGAGCGGGGACCCAGGCCCAGATGCCCAGCCTGGAGCCCTCCCAGCCCCCCCCATGAAACCCTAATCCCCGTTGCCATGACGACCGAGGCAGGGATCAGGCAGGGATGGGAGTGGGAGCCGCTGCAGGGCAGGGATCAGAGAGGCCTCTCCCCGCGCTGCGCCCTCGCTGCCCCTGCGGTCACCTGCGCTCAGCTGTGGCGCTCAGGACTGGAGCCCTGACTGGCCGGGATGCGGCCCACGCCCGGCCCCCAGCCCCTGCCCGCTGCCCCATTCCTAGGGTCCCAGAGGGAGCAGCTGAGGCTGGAAAAAGACAGGAGGGGCCCAGCGAGGCCCCCCCGCCCGCATGGGGTGCTGGGCCAGGAGGCCCGTCGGGCCCGGGGCCTGCGCGGGCACCGGGGACCCTC